AAATTCTGTCTGACAATGTGTGTATATAATAATCCCCTCCTTTTATAGAAGAGAAAAATGTAGAATACTTAAGAAAGCTGACAAAAAGATTAATTCAGGTTTCCTGATTCTTAATATATTACTATCCTCAGTGATTTGATGAATAAGAACTGGATTAACATTTATCTTATGAATAAAGAAAGAAAATGTACCTGATGGTGAAAACAGATAACACTTCAATGATGTTGACAATATGATGTCTCAATTGATATCAGTCCACTCTAGTGCTTAACTATAAATTGAAAATACATTGAATATTACTGTAAAGTGGATTATTACTGAATCATGACAATTTTTAGTCAACAAATCTGATATGCTATTCATTGAAATGTAGTAGGAAAGATATAAGAGGATTTCATTGATACTGTAATTCAACTAATCAGTATTCAGTAAGATATGCAGAGAAAATAATTATATGTTGCAAAAAAGTTTCTTTTAATTGTCCAATTTCAAAAACATCAAATAAAGGCAATTATCTTGTAGAAGAGGTAAACACATTTCACTCACATGGTGACATCAACTCTCGACATATTTTTCACAAAAGGGATATTCTTTAAGCAAACAAAAATAACTAGGTTACTCTGGAGTTAAAAGGAAGTTCAATTCCTTAATTCAACAGATTTTGATTTAAAATTTATGTCCTTATAACTAGACACTTAAAAATAAACATGAAGGGAACTGTTGTTCAAATAAATAAACATAGTAGGAAAATCAGCCATTGTTCACTAAGGTTTAGAAAATGTTGTGCTATCATCACTATTCAAGAACAGCCATCAGAGTTGACCCTCCTTTGTGCCCCAGAAGACAGGTTCTTCCACCCTGAGAGGCTAGAACTGAATAAAGCAAAATACTTAAGTTTACATGTTAAACAATGTGAGATGTCTTCAGAATCATCAGTACATTTAATCTGGAAATAACCCAATTAGATAAGATAGAATGTATCTTCTAATTCATCATTTCCAAAAGCAATATGTCCTATACTGTGCTCCCTTCAGGACAATCTCTGAAAATGGTCAGGTCAATATTTCCAGAGACTTTGCACTCCATACTATAGTTGCCCTCTTGAGTATTTGATTAAAAGTCTGGAAAACTCTTCAGTCAAGTCAACTGTTTTTTTAGCATTAAGCCAATATACTCCAAATTCTGGAAATCATTTCTCCTTGTAACACTTCAAGGACACCAAATATGCTTAATTTTCTACTATATTACTTGTGAATCCTAATCTCCTACTGATTCCTCCTTTTATAGAACTATTTAAGTGCCTCAGTATTCAGTCCTTGCTCTTTCTTTTGTTTCTGTACTCTCTTGTTTGATGAGCACCTACAATCAAATGATTTTCAGTACTATCTGATGCCTACAACTCTCAAATTTATTATCTGTATTCTAAATCACACTCCTGAAATCCAAACCCAAAACTAAAGATCTACACTGACTTTTTTGAAAGATAAGCTGAAGTTTTAATCTTCCCCATCTAAACTTCTCTACAAAAGTAATCTTTGCATACACTCAAAATAATTTACATTCCTCTAGTACTCCTACTAAAAACCTAGTCAAACCTGACTTTTTTCCCTCACACCCCACACAGAAAGTCTCATGTGCTTAACCTTCAAAATATATCCAGATGGTAAATATACCTTGCTACTTCCAGAGCTACCATCCTTACTCGAGCTGATATATTTTATCACCCAGGTGATTACAATATTCTTTTATCCTTGCTCCCTTAAATATATATAGTATCAACACGGTTGTCACAGTGATCAATTTAAATGAAAAGTTAGGACATTTCAATCCTCTTTTATAACTCACAAACCAACTGCTCCACATTTCACTGAGAAAAATCACGATCCTTAGTTATGTTCCCGAAAGCCATGAAATCTGTTCCCTAATACATCTTTAATTTCACTATACTATCTTTCACTATACTATCACCTTTCTGGCCACTCAGATCTCCTTACTGTACATCAAATAGTCCAGATACGATCCTTTTTTGCAATGTATGTAACAGATGCACACTCTGGTTAGAATGCTCTTTCCCCAGAAACTACGTACCTCATTGGCTCCTGTTTCAAATCTTGCTTATGTGTCACATTTTCATTTATGCTTATCCTGAATTTCATTTAAAACTGTGTTGCGACCTCTGTCCTAACAGATCTCCAATCATTTAACCTGCCATTTTCCTACTCCTAGATTTTAATATCTTTGGATATGACACATTACTTTTTTATTAACTTCCAATCACACTAGAATATAAACTCTGAGAAATTTTATTAGCTTTATTTACTGATATATCCAAAACAACAGCAAAGAATTAAGTCTGCCACATATACATGCTTGATAAATACTACTTTGATGAATAAATGAAACATACTTATAAACAGATAGTAGAGTATCTATGTAATTTTAATATTTATCCCTTCATCTTTGGTATTTGGACAAAATTAAACCTATATGGAAAATGATAATAGAAAGGTGATTTGTTCTATCAAAGATGAGTGCATTATCTGCTTCCACATATTTCTTATATTCCTATAAACTGATAGATTTTCATTCTCATAGAACGAAAGTAAATATCAATGCATCTAAAAACCTGACTACACAATCCTGAACCCTTGATTAAACATCTGAATCACCTTGGAATTTTCATAAGAATATACAATACATGAACCATCTCAGTGGTATAATTTCTGATGACATTCTTCCCTAGTGTATTCATTACTGAAATGTCAGTGTTTTAGATAACAATGCCATTCATTAGAATTATGCAGAATAATTGATTACAATTACTATTATAATTGTCTCTCTTACTTCCAAATAATGTTGAGGCAAACTTTCACTATTTTACATATTATAGTAGCACTTTTAAGTTTCCCAGTCCTTCTATATTCAACTTAATATTTCTTGTTGAAGTTTTCACCATTTATAAGGATAGAGTTTATAAAGAGGAAATTACTTAAGTAGACGTACTTAAGTGACTTTCTTGTAATGTCACTGGTAAAGCAATGCGTAAGTGGTCATGTAGTAGAAATGACATTTACCATTTTTAAGAAATTAGACAAGTAATGTAATTAATTAAAAGATACTGAGTTATGCAAAAGCTTCACTGATGTATGTGGGGAAATTATTAAGTTTTGAGAATTTTGTATTTAAGAATTAAGAGATATTTCTAATTATTCTTAAAACATACTATAAAATTTCATTAATTGGCAATAATTTGAGTAATGTTATATTTGATTTATAAAATATCACTCTATTACTTTAAACTAAATACTTACTAAAGATATTGCCTCAATGCATAGATAAATTAAACAAAAACAATATTACAATTATTTAAAAATAAATTGAATAATATGAAGTCTGTAAAAATCACAAGGTGTTTCCATAATTTACAAAATGAATAAGAGAGAAAATTTTAAAGTGACAGAAATCCATTTGATCTCATAAACTACATCATACATTGCCTGAAACATTATTCATCATTGTTGAATAGTTTGTTTTTGATAGTTACAAAAAATAAAGGTCCAAATGACCACAAGTTCTCAAATAAAATGAGAATTAACTTATTTTTAAATTTAAATGCTTATTTTTAATTAGAATGATTAAAAGGGGATATTCTTTCATTGAATGCCTTTATTCTTTCATAATAATAATGCCAGTATAGGTCTTCTACATAAAGAGTTATTTAAAGTAAGTTAGTCAGTTCTAGCCTACATGCTGATGAACAAATTATGAAGTAATTTCATGCCTACATGGAGACAAGAAAATGTAAACCACACTCAGAATAATATATTTACTAGCTAAGATTTACATAAGCCAACTAAAATGAAAAACAGAAGAAATTCCTCTGAAAAAATGCATATGCCAGAGTTATCAAGAAACATAAACAAGAAAGAGAATGAACAAGAGTCCTTGATTTATATATTTAGAACCTTTACTCAGGAGGACAGTAAATGAAAACAATTATGACTTACAATACAAAATAGCATGTATAGATAGAATAGTTCAATTAATAACAAAAAATTAAGACATATTTGTTTCCCTACTTATCACATTTTCCAATGCAATTTTCCACCGTGGAGACTTTTGAAGACCTACATCAAATTATATTGTTTATAATCATATGAGTTAAAAGTTACTAAAAGAAAAGCTATAGCATTCTTAACCTATTTATGGAATATACTCAGCTACCCACAGAGAAAACTCAGGAATTTTTACCACAGGCATTGTTGACATTCATTATGAAGGGAATGATTACCCCATGTGAAATATCAATAGCACCCACATTTTGTGATAACCAAACATAATTAGACTGACTGGATAGCAAAAACACTCGTTGGTGAGAACCACACCAACATAAGATGAAGGAAGGAAGAAAGGAAGGAAGAGAAGGATAGAAAAAGAAGGGAGGGTAAGAGGAAGGGAGGAGAGAAGGGAAAGTATACTAAGCATTCTTAAACAGTTAATAAAATTACATGAAGTACATTGAATATCTATTTGGTAGATTTGAATGCATTTATTCCAGTTTAAGAAAAATCTTAATAAAGTTATAAGAAAAATCTTGTTTACATAAAACCTATGTATTGTTTCACTAAAAACAATAAACATGTCGTCAGTCTTAACAAAGATTCGCTTCTCTTAAGAAAAATATTAAGTGGCTTTTCAATAAAATTCCCTTACTTCTATCTTAAGAGTAATACCAATATTCCTGTATAAAAACAAATTTTTTATTTCAATTTTAAAGAGAAGAGAAGAACTTTATCACCTACTGGTGGTTCCCAAAAATGTTCTCATGTGACTTTAGAAGACAAACTAATATATTGTGCATTTATAAAAATGTTTAATAGGACCTACCTATTAATAATAGTAACTTGTTATTACAGACCAGAAGTAATTATTGTAATCATTATTAATTATAACTAGATGCTATCCTTTCATTTTTCTCATGTGATCATTTTTTGACTTACCATTGATGTAACTGAACGTGCATCTTCTTCATAATTCACCACTGGAGGTGGCTCTTTCCCATCATTTTCTTGTACTTTTTGCTCTAGTAATTCTTTCTGTGCTGTAAACTTTGCCTCAGTGCATCGTAGCTGCTGGACTGAGTGTTTCAACTCTTCAAGTGTCTGTTTTTGGCTTAGCAAAAGCACAATACTAAAAGAGAACACATTAAACAAATTATTTTTCAAGTTTTTTAAGAAATAAAAACTAAATAAAGCTGTTTCCTTTAAAGGAAAATGCATCTTTGCTTTTCATTTTTTCTATGAGTCTTCATAATCATAAGACTTCTGATTCTGAAACAGATTTTGAGTTATTATGTTAGTATTAAGAAAAAAGAAGGAAATATTTGGAAGAAAAATCAAAATTCAAGATGCTTTCACTTCATTTTAAAGCTTAATTATCTACCACACAGAGAATGAATACTTATATCCAGAAGTGTAGGACCTGAGATAAAGTAATGTGACATAATAAATAAATTATGAAGCAGAATCACAATGTACTTCGAATCTCAAATGGAACAGAGCTAAAGTTAGAAATGTGCCTACCTGGGATGTAGTGTGTGGAGTATGAATTTATAGACAGGAAAAATCTATGCTGACAAAAACTAGGATTGAGCAGTGACTAAGAAAATGAGCATAACATAGGCCCCCAAGTATTTCCAATATCATAACAGTAGGTTTCCCCATCACTTCCTTAGAAAACTATACAAGCCATATGTTTCCTTATTGTGTCTATTATCCCTTGCTCCTAGTAAGAACGGCAAACTAATACATCCACACTAAAGCCAATAGAAACAGGAGAATATCCAAGGGTACATTTTCATACATAAAAAAGGTCAGATCACCTCAAAATGTTTAGTCAGATCTCCCCAAGATGTTCAAAATGGTCCTACCCAAGACATGTTTTGACATGTGGATGTTCCAAGCTGAGGTCAATCTAGGCTTTGCAGGCTTGCTAGAAGCTATTACTGTAACTCCCTTACAACCAAAAAATGAAATATGAGGGTACTGTCCAGTTTTTAACAGAGATAACCATTCTAGAAAAGGGATGAAGCTGTATAGTAGGGCAAATATGTAATTACAAAGCACCTTGTCTTCCTTATATAAGTCACCCAATCACTGTCACTTGATTCCCCCTACTCTTGTTTTGAAGCCCCAAGCCTCTGTTTTATTGTGCAGCTCTGAATACATACCCTCATTTCTCTCATGGTCATTAGAGTTCTTGTCTGTGTAGATTCCCATAAGTATGCAATTAAATTTTTCCCCCACTTATCTTTCTCATGTTCATTTGATTATCTGATCAATCTACATGAGTAAGTGAAAATCACCACCTTCCCTAACAATAGCGTATTAAAAACTTAAGGAATTGTGTCATATGTTACAGTACATAAATTATTAATATGTAAGAAACAATAAATTTCCTATTAGAGAAAGCTTCAGAACTAGAGAATGCTAGAAAATGTGAACTTAAATTGGAAATTTGAAGGATAGTGAATATAAACTGAATAAATAATCATAGGCAAGAGGAATTCACACAAATTTTGTTTATACATATATGCTGGTCAATATTTTCGAAACTCAATTCCACTCACATAACAGGGTACAGTATATGAGAATGCTATCAAGAAAGCTTCAGCGTCATCTCTATTATTTGCAATGAGTTTCAGATGAGATCCTAACAAAAAAGCAGTAACAGGTATATTTGGGGAAAAGTAGAACTATTAATGAGAAAGATAATTGGTAAAAGTTACCTAGAACATTCAAAACACAACTGTAAACAGCAAAGTTAAAAGTAAGGAAGAAAGGGAACTATGAAGGACACAGAGTAAATTCCCTACTTTGCTACTAAGAGTAGTTACTTAACATGTAACAGTTAATCACACTATATCCAGAGAGTCCTGTGACTTGGAAGAACCTGGTACACTCTTAGGACATCTTAATTCAATACACACTTTCAGAAAAGAGACAGAGGGGAAAGTCAAATTTCAATGAAAAGTAGGCGAGTTGAGCAAAGTAACTGGAGTCTGTAGTTAAGGACAGAAGATGTCAACAAAAGGGCTGACCCCTCAGTCAGAGGCCCTGAAAGTTGAGAGCTAACCACTGTGAAGTACACACCTGTGATTCAGATGTGAAATACATGTAGAAGAGAAGCAGTGCCCTCCACAGACAGGCTCCTCTATTAACAATAGCAGAGCATGCCCTGGACATTATTCTTCCTCCTAATAGAGGGAGAATATAATACCTAGAGACTGGTACTGACTTCATGCAGTGTTTTGACGTACACAGAGAAAGTGGAGTCTCAGGTGTGCAAGCAGAGAACAATGGCAGTACCACAAACACAACACATATTCTCCTACTACAGCATATTCAAACTTCTGGATCAACCCAGTAGGCCGTTCCCCAACTCAGCAATTGCAAAAACAGGTGCCAGCCCTTAGAGAAAACATCTAGAGCCACAAGGAAAATATAAACCAGTGAAATAAACACGTGAAAATATAACTAACATCCTGAACCTTCAAGGTGTATGACATCACATGGACAAAACTCTCCATAATCCAACCAAACTTCACAGAAAATTTGAGCAAATTTGAGCAAGGATACAGATCGAATCAAAAAACAAAAGCCAAAATGGCACTAACAAGAACCCATACAGCAATATTAGCCTTAGTGTAAATGGAATGAACTCACCAATCAAAGAGTAGGCCATGGCTACTAGGAGAAGAAAACAAAACCCAATGTTCTGCTGTCTCCAGGAGACCCATCTGAGCTCCAAAGATAAATATAAGCTCAAAGTAAACATATGGAAAACAGTCAATCAATAAAATGGTACTCTAAAAAAGGCAGAGACAACCATACTTATATCAGATAGACTTCTTAGCTACAAAGTAGCAAGAGACAAGAGTGGAAATTAAGTAATGGTTAAGGGATAAATACAATAAAAAATATAACACTCATTAATACAATTGTAAAAACAAACAGGCATGAAAATATATATAAAGCAACTATTAAGAAAACAGATACAACATTATAGGAAACTTCATCAATCCATTTAAATAAATGGATATATCAACTGAAAAGTGAACATGGACACAATACACTAAAACAAGGAATTAGACCATAGGAGATTAATAGATATATATAAGGGAAAGCAGTTAAAAAAAAAAGTACACATTTTTATCAAGTACATATGAACTATTTTTGAGACTAAACTATATACTGAGTAAAAGACAAGTGTCAACAAATTCATGATGACTGAAATTATATTAAGTATCTTCGTTAATCACAATGGTATCAAAATAGATATTAAAAAAAACAGGAACAAACACTACATGTGAAGAATAAATAACATGCTATGGAATGACTAATAGGTTAGTGACAATATCAAAAAGAAATTCAAAAGTAGTTGGAGACCGGGCCCTCCCTGGTGGCGCAGCGGGTTAAAGCACTGCACTGAGAAGCTAAAGCCACTTCCGCATGAGTTCGATCCCCGCCTGCCCTGGAGGTGACCACATGGCGCGGCAGACCTCTCCTGACCCGCCCACTGCTCCCCTCAGCAGTGTACTTCGTCGATCTGCCTGTTCTGCTCCCCACTCTGTCTTTGGTGAATCCTCTCACCGCCCTGCATCTCTGGCCTGTACCAGTTTTTTTTTTTTTTTTTTTTTTAAAAAGTAGTTGGAGACCAATGAAAATGACATTAGCTACCAGAATCTATGGGAAACAGCAAGAGCAGTAATAAAAAGGGAACATAAAAAAATTCAAATAAATAATCTAACATTACACATCACAGACAAATAAGTGAAACCAAAAGCCAGTAGAGAAAAAAGAGAAGATTATAAGAAAAGTATATATTTGTCTTTCTAGATTTGTTAAATTGACTAATGAAACCATCTTGTTCTAGTCTTCTTGATTTTAGGGAAAAATTGATTACTTCCCCCCAAAAAATTTAGTAAGACATAATATAGCCAAAAACATTTTATCAAGCCAGCATTACTGATACCAACAGCAGTCTAAGATATCACAGACAAAGGAAAGTATAGACCAATATAGCTGGTGAATATAAATAGAAAATTCTTAACAAAATCATAGCAAACAAATTCAATAATACACTGAAACTTTCATCACAGCCAAGTCTAATGTGTTCCAATATGCAAGGATATTTCAATACAAGGATATAAATCAATGTAATTCACCACACCATGCGAAAAAATGAAAAAATGTATGATCATATCAATAGAAGAAGGAAAAGACACTTAGCAAGATTCAATATCCATTCACAGTAAAAACTCTCAAAAATTAAGATAGAGAACACATATTTGACCTAAGGCCACATATATAGTCAATTTAGGGCTAATATTTAATGATGGAAAAATGAAAGATTTTTCTCTAAAATCAGGTACAAGTCAAAGATGACAACTTTTGCCACTTCTTCAACATCCTATTGGAAGTTTTAGTTAGAGTAATTTGAAACAAGATATACAGAAAAGAAATCCAGATTGAAAAAGAAGAGTAAAATTCACTATTTGCAGATGACATGACATTATACATGGAAACCTACAAGACTCCAAAAGAATATTAAAAGTGATACATCAGAAATTAGAAGTGGCAGGCTAAAAACATAAATAACCAAAATTGGTAACATTCTTATATGCAAAAAAAAAAAAACTGAAAAGAAGGAAATGAAGAAAACAATCCATTATGTACAATCTTATAAAAAGGAATTATGAAGACATTACTGCATTAAAACCAATCCAATTTATAATTGTATAGAAAGAAAATAGTAATTAGGGATATACTTTAAAAAGGAGATGAAGGACCTGTACAGTAAAAGCCATAAGACATTGTCAGAAAAAAATAAGAGAGAAAAAAATAGAAAGATATTCACTGCTGATGGATTGGAAGAATTAACAGTCAAAATGGTCCTCTTACCCCAAGCATTGTACAGATTCAATATTCTAAAAACTTTTAAAGGAAAAACACTTTGAAGCTCATTTTATGAGAACATTATTACCAAAACCAAACATAGACAAAGAAAACTACAGACTAATTTCCTTAATGAGTACAGACGCAAATGCTTAAAAAGAAAGATGAAACACATATGATCATGTCCATAGATGCTGAGAAATCATTTGATAAGATTAATCATGTTCTTATAAT